AGAAGTTTTCCAATTCATGTCACGGTGATCAGCATTTAAACCTCTGAGATTAATTTCGTTCCCACAGCCTTGGACTCACCAAAGAAGGATGCCATCTGCAAGGGATTTAAACAGACTGGCATCTGATGGGTTCATGGGGAGGAGGTGCTTACAGTCTGGGTCATCTTGGAGAGCTTTATTTATCCAATTAACAAAAGCAACTTTTTCTTCCTCTGAAAAAAAGAGACAGCATTAAAATAGTGGATTATCATTTCCAAGAACACATACTACTAAACATCATACTTGGGTCAAAGAGGTTCACCTGCAATAAAACCCCTTAGCTTCACAGGGGCCAGGGATGAAAAGAATCAGACCAGTGGGAAAGAACACAAGAATGGCAAGTACAGATTGATCTTTCTCCTACTGCACCCTTTAAATAGCTGGTGATTTTCTGAAGAATATAAAAATCACAGGGCCAGCATAGGGAAGGCATCCTCATGGCTGACTTAAAATTCAGCTTCTCAGCAATTCCAAAGAGGGGGATTTCTGATCTCAAATATGCAACAACTCAATTTGCACACCATGGGTTTAAAACACAGCATGTCATTTTGAGAGACTGGCAGTCTTTTTGATCTTTGTGATCTGCACTGCTGAGCTGTACAAGCTTTGAGAAACTTAAGAAGTTTAATATCTCAGTTTTAAACTCTCTTTCATATTTAGTGCAGAATTTATTACTGTGGATGTAAGAAAGCTTATTGGGATAACAGGCAGACAGGTATCAGTATCCACATCCCCCACAGCACAGGCGGCACTCCCCTCACTCTCCTCAGGAAGCAAACAAGAGGTACCCACACCTGACTGCTTACCCTTGTCCCACTGTCAGTGGGGAACAGTGTGGAATTCTTGTCACCCTTCATCTCCCTGTAAGTGAGGGGTGATGAGGCCAGGCCACGTGAACTGCCCTGCACTGGGGGCTGTTCCTCTCCACCAGAAATGAGAGGGAGTCTAAACCATCCCCTCGGGTGCCCTGCAGGTATCCCGTGAGATGGAACAGATTCCCTGCTTTGGAGATCTACCAAGTGCAGCTGGGGCTGTCAGAATCATCCTGAGACAGACGGGACTGCCACCTCTGGCTGAACAAAGTGAACCTTCCTCAGGTATGGGATTAACACAGTCTGGAACCACAGCACATTCCAGACTCGAATCAACCCAAACAGTGGCAATATTGCTGACAGCAATGCGAGCCTGCAGGGTGGGGAACACTCTGGGCAGGAGCTGCAGTGCAATCAGGAGCAATTACCCACTGGAATTACATGCAGCAGGGGAGGCAGGAAGAAAGGGATCAAATATTAAAAGCAGCTTCTGAAGTGTGAGAGAGGCTGTGCAGAAACCATGCAGGAGGGAACAGTTCTGTAGTGGCAGAGACAGCTGAGGGGGCCTTTCCACAAAGGATGTGTGGTGGTTTGTTAGGGGATTTTTAGTTTAAGCTATTAACACTGTGGAAATGAAAATGAGAATTCATTTTTATCTGAATATAGGAATAATATATATATATATATAAGGAATAACACCAAAGAGGCCATTTTTCTCCCCTTACATGCTGTCAGTGCTTGTTTTCCTCTTTTGCTCTTGCAGAGTCCCAACTTGCCTCCACGTGCAGCATGAAAAACCACAGCTACTAAACTATTGCTCACACTCATCTATCTCCACATACTCTGTGTTCATTTGCTTTCAACACCAACATTTTCCAAGTGTTTGGGTTTTTTGTCCATAGTGCAAATGTAGAGAGTTTCCCCCATGCAGAATTTGCCCATGTTTAATCATTTCTTACCTGAATAAGAGTGCTGTGTCCCCTCACTAGAGATTGCTGATGTCCCTCCAATCGCTGTAATGCCTTGCTTTTTGTTTATTGATTTTCGGAAAGATTTGCTGACATCTTTACTTTTCAATTCCTGAATTATCTGAAATTAAAAAAGCAGAGAGTATTTTGTGATTGATCATACCTTTAGATAACTGTTAATTCATGTAAGAACTCTATAGAGTCAGTAGTTAACATGAATGCCTTTATTTGATCTTTACACTGATTAAAAAAAAGTACTGTACTGGTAAAACTAGTTTAAATCTTCTCAGGAAACTTGCATAGTGGATGTCTCACATATTATTTCTCAGTGAATACCTTTTTTAAGCCGTGGTAACTAAAAAATCAATAGCCAGTTTAACAAGCAACCTGCTGCAATGAGCTGCACTATTCCAAATTCAAAGCAGAGAGTAATCATCCCAAACACACACAAACCCACGGCCTGAGAGGCTTTTGTTTCTTTTAAAGCCCACTAATGAGTAATCCTCATTTTAAGAAGTCCACACCTTTGAAATTTGTTCACTGAAAGGGAACAACTGTACCTCACTGCAGCAATAAAGAGCATTTAGCCCAGAGCTGAAGCACAGTGATAATGTTTGCACTGCCAAGAGCATTCCCAGGCTGGGGGCTCATTGTCTGCTCTTCTGTCAGCTCCTACAACATGTACAACATGCACTCCATCCCCTCATCTGTCAGTAAACAAATTAGCACTGAGTCCAACTAAGGCACTCTCACAGCCTTCCCAAATCAGATCTATTCCATTAAAAAGGAGAGTGAAAGAGTAAAATAACTATACAGGATATCCTAAATTGTCACAGAAAACTCAAAATAATAGTTATATCTAAAATAGTGCTTAGTTCTAGCACTTGATTCAATTTTCCATCCTAATTCTCAACAGGTAGCAGACAGTAGAAAACATGCAAAGGGAATGCCTTACAGAGACAAATTCCTCGAAGTTGATTCTCCCGTCCTTGTTGCTGTCTGTCACTAAAATGATTTTTTCTACAATCTCCCGGACTTTGTATCCAGGCAAGGGCAGGCTCGCTTCTTTGAACAGGTCCTGAAGTTCATAATCACTGACGTAGCCACTGTTGTCAATATCTGTCAAATGAAAGCACAGGTTGTTACACTCACCCGATGAACTGTAGAGAATAAACAAAGAGTGAGAAATGCAGTTCCAGCAGGTAAGTATTGCTCTTCCTGACAGAGGTAAGTAAGCATGAAGGAATGCTTGGGGATTAGAGGGACAAGTGTCCAGGACTTGTGTGCCATCCTGTGCTGTACTTTCTCAGGAACTCTCTGATGATCCCAAAGCACGGCCAGAACAACACAGCAAAGTTTCAAATAGTGAAGTTGAAGCTTTTTTTTCCAAGACGCCCAACAAAATTATCTGTAAACCTTCCCATGAGAGGGAGATCAATTAATATGTGCTTCCTGTCAGTGTGATACCATCTGCAGTCAGGGAACTCAGATGTGATGCACGTTGTTATTAGAAGAGCACACTTACACAAGAAAAACTACTTACACCAGAACTCTGCCTGACTGTGCCTTTTGTTTCTTATCCTAGCATCTCACAGATATTTTCTGTTCTTCAGAACTTTTGATGTGGTTAGGCTTACCCGTGAAGAATAAATCCAGGATGATCTCTACCTGTTTATTAAAGGTGACCTTCCTTAATCTATTAACTAGCTCTGCTGGGAACAGTTTGTGCTGCCACCTGCACTTACACTTGGCTCCTGAGACCACATGACAAGAATGTTCCTGGACAGCAAAGCATCAGAATGCTTTTTGTCAACAAGAGGTATGGCACAGCTCCACAATTATGAAAAGAAATGAATGGCTCTATCATAAAAATAAATTAAGAAAAATGGAGTATGATTTGTGTCACTCATCATGAATAATGCAGCAGTAGCAGAGAAACCATCAAAAATACCCTTTGTACTTTCAGCTCTGTGCAGAAAACTGACTTGAATTCATCTGAGTACAATAAAGCATCATTTTACACCTATGTTTTTACCCAAAGTGACACAGAAATGAACCAAACACATCAACTGTTCCTGTTTGTTTTAATCTATGCATATTTCCATATATATATACACATATTTATACAAGCAGAATTTGAAAATGCCAGTAAAATAGCCTTACCTGTACCTGTAGTGCATTGGCTATGCAATGGAGAGAAGAACTTTGAAAAGCAGCAAAGCTATAGTCCATTCACAGTGTAGATGAAGTTCAATCAAATACAGAAAGAAAGAAGAAATCATATCCAGCCAAAGTAATGCCGGATATAATGTCATCATTTTATATATTTAATGCTAATAATTTCCATGTCTGACAGTAATTTACAGTGTCTTTCATGCTCATATTAAAGCTCTTGAAAAACATTAGTTAATAGTGTTTTCCCTGCTCTGCCAACAATCCATCAAAGGGAAGCCATTTAAGAGAATATCACAGTGAGTCAGAAAGAGAAGCAGATGATGTGACCACCCTTCTGACTTAGCAAGGTGCTCCCACTTTGGGTTTTGTTTTGTTTTTGTTTACTAGTTACAAACCTCTCTTCATACTCCCCCTGGTATCAGAACTCAGTCAGTAGTACCCCAGTGGATGAAAATGCCTCTCACAGCAGAAAGGCCAGCAGAGAAACATGCTTTCATCACCAGCCATAACTGAGTGCTGGTCACTCATTTTCTTGTAATTCACACTGCACTGTGCAGCTTCTGTACAGCTTCACAGGGCAGCCACATTTCACTGCTGAGAGGTTAAAAACACCAGGTTAAAAAAATTAATTCAGTGTTTTCAATACTGTCAACAACTCACCAATCAGCACACAGACAAACTCTATGTCTGCGGCTGCATTAATGCATCCACTGGCTTGCAGACATGTAAACCCCCAGGTAATGACAGGGCTGGTCTGAGGAACAGAGGACATGCTCAGGAGCTCACTCAGATTACCAGCTCTTTTATTTCTCCAGGCTCATCTTTCACAGGGGGTAAGTTTCCATGATGACAAGCTGAGAGTTCAATACCTGCCTTCTCTCAGTTTACCAGTGTAGCTGCAAGCAATTGATCCATAATGGCATTAGGAAAGTAAAAATTATAAATAAATAAATAAATAAATAAATAAATAAATAAACTAAGGATGCTTGATTTCTATATTTTAAAGAAAGCATAAGGAAGAAAATGCTTTTCAGTGAACAGGAGCAGGACAGCCAATTTTTACAGCAGAAATGTGACAACAGGCAGGAAATGGAGTAAAAGAAGGAATGCAGATGGTGACAAACCAACCAAACAGAAAAGCAGTCAGACAACACCAGCGAGTATCTCCCTATCCAGACATCTCCCTGATATTCCAGGAATACAGATACACAGTGCCCTTCCCTTTGGCCTGTTGTTCCAGCTCCTGCAGGCTACAGACTTCCTGAGCTACAGATGTGATGTGAGTGTTTAACAGCAACTCATGGATTCCCTGCCATGGATGCAGCTTTCTCCTTTTAGGATTTCTACTCTTTCTTGGTCTCGAGTCAAGGGGTTCACGGTTTAATTATTTATAATGAAGAGAAGTTACTTCTTTTTATTTTAAGCTTTCTGGCTCTACTGGGCATCACGTGATACCTGCACTGACAGAACCAGAGGAATTCCTTCCTACTCCTTGTCTCAAATCTCTAACACACAGTTTCCCAACAGCTTCTCCACCAAGCTGAAGACTCATAACATCTCAGAGTTCTTGCCTGAAATGACCTGTTCTCCCCTTGGGACTGACTGCAGACATGTCTGATTTCCTGAGCTGCACCGTTCCACATCACCCCCTGAGCTGCAGCAAACGGGAGATAAAGCAGCCAGGAACTTCAACAGCAGCACTGCAATCTGGAAATAAGGGTTAGTTGCTGTCTAATTTCTCACTCTGTTTACTCTGATTAATCTGTAAACATCCTGTCAAACATAGAAAATAGTACAGTTATTTATTAACATCTGCAAGCTGTAAAAGCAAGATTAGAAAATCTGCAAGTTTAGCTTCTTTAAAATGTAAAATCCAATGGAATAAATGAAAAGAGGAATTATTAGTTCACCAAAGCATGCAAGTAAAATAAAAACCAAGTGTCAGTAATCTAACATAAAATATATGTAAATATATAAAAATAATATATAAAATATATATATATATAATATAAATATTTATATAAATATATATATCACCTGAAGCATAATCAAACATTTTTTTCAGATTTAAGGAAGTAAAAAAACTGCATTTTGAGAGCTATTATGTAGCACATGCAATGGCACAAATAATGCAACTGCCCAGCAAGAAAATACAGGTATTTTCAGTGCTGAGGGTGAAAGAATTAACACACATAATTTTAGTGAAAATATGAGGCTCTATGTAAACACTCTTATTTTATTAGATATTACTGGCAACACAGAGGGAAAACACGTCCCTATCAAAACAAGGTGATCCATAAAGATTTCTTCCACAAATCCTAAACAGCTTTGCAATGTTAGTGGCACCCTTATTGTCTTATTATTTAAAACATACCTATTTTGCCAAATGCTTCTCTCAGTTCTTCAAGCTCTTCCCGAGATATGGTAGTTATGTTGTTTTCCATCTCTGGACAGCAGGAAGTGTCGTCCTCAATTATTTATATCTAGTAATAATAACAGGAAAGATGTAAGTCTGTAATTCCAGGTACAAAGAAGTTACTGATCTTTTCAACACGAGGTACCAGACTTGAGTGACATGTCCAGGCCTAGCACATAGAGAACATCACAAACACCACTTTGAAGTACATCAAATACCCAGCAATTCTTTTCACCCTCACAGTGACTGAGAATTCCCAGCAGCAGCACCCATTCACATACACTTGGTGTTTCCATTTGCAGGGAATAAGCACCAACCAGCAATCTACCTCTATGCTCAGGTGGTTTTCCAACACTAAAGTCTCCTTACACTTCACCAAGCAGTTTTCAGAAACATAATTCCCACATGCAGTGCAGAGCAGCTTCACTGCCGAGCTGTGCTCAGTGCTGGGATCCAGTCCTGCCCAGCACTGAGCACTCCAGCATTTACACAGCAATAAACCTCAGGGGACACTTTCTACAATCTGTGGGTGACACCGAGGAGCCTTTCCCCAGCTCCTGACCTTCACCACCCTTGTGACACCACCCCGTTGTCTCAGCACTGTCAAAGAGCCACAGGAAGGACTGGAGCGCCAGTGTCAATCCTTCTCTACTGACCTCCATAAAAAAGCAAAACAAAACTGAAAGCACCTCTGCAAGATGTCAACAAAGCCCCCGACAGATCTTTGCCCCTTTCCTCACTGAAGCTGTAGTGCACAGGATGATTCAGTTGCTGGCAGTAAGAGCAGCGTTGTACAGAAGTCGCACACGATCGTCTCAGTACATGAGCCCCTCTTTGCCATTTGGCACCGGGCAGTGCCATGGCACACACAGAGAGCACGCTGTGCTGCAGGTGGGGCTGTGCCTACCAAAACCACCCAAGTTTAATCTTTGCTTTTACTTTATAAGCCCAGAGGGGGCAAAAGTCCCCCTTATGTAAGCATTCCCATCCAAGTGGCACTATACCTGTGTGTGTTTCCCCTCTGGGTTACAGGAAAACAGTCCTGCAATGCCCAGGCTGTCATTTGCTCAGAGTAATTCTATTCACATCTGCTACACGCACGAGTGTGTTGTCCCAAACAGCTCCTGCCTGCTTTACCTGGGTTAGTGTGTCCTGTGTCTGCCCTGGCCTGTTCCTGCGGGTCACACAGGATGTGGCCTGGAGTGTGGGTGGCAACTTAAGTCTTTTTCCCTCATGTCACTAGGTCTTATTTAAGTACTAAAATCCTACTTATCCATTTTGCTAAGCTTACCAACAGCATGTACAGTCTTCGTACTCAAAAGGAAAAAGATATTTAAAATAAATATTAAAAAAAAAAAAAAAGACCCTTCACACAGATGTTTCTGGAAGTGCAAGTACCTTCACTGGAAACCTGGTGTGGCAATTAAAGAAATAATGAACGGTGGAAAAATTGGTGAAAAAATAAAACATTTAAATCCCAATTGCTAAGGAAATTTAAAGGACTCCAAAGCTGCAAAAAAACCCAGATGACAATTCTCTGAAATACAGAAACAGCAAGACAGAGCATAAATGAAATATTTGGCCATGCAGGTGTAAAAGACAACATCACTTCTGTTGTACTATTAATGATTTTAACTATTTACCATTATCCTGAGTCAGATTTTATCAGAAACAATTTCTGAAAAGTTGCAGTGCAATGAGTTTCACTGCTGCCCTTTTATGATTCATGATTTAGATTTCACATCATATTCTACTTCAGAAAATAGCAACCTTTGATTTCCAAAGATGTAGATTATTTCAGTTACACAGTAGAAACATCTGCTCTTGAATGAAGCAGATAAATAAAGCTAATAATTCAGCTCTAAAGAGACAGCCCTAAATAGCCTATGATATCATTAGAGGGTAAATCAGCTGGTCAATTAAATGGCAGAAGTACTGCAATCATGGTTCTGGCATTCAGGAGAGACAGTCTGAACAATCAGAGACCGCTCCCAAACCAGGCAGACATTTCAGACAATTCCAGTACAGAAACAGGGACCTTCTATCAGAGCTGATAAATACCCTGCCCAGCCAGGCTCATCACCACCCAGGGTGACTCAGTGCACAGGCAATGCTGACGAGATTGAGCCTCCAAAGGAACGTGTTTTGGAACCGTGACTGCCTGTTGAGAGGTACGTTCACTCCGAGAGAACTCCTCTGTGCTCTGGGGGCGTTCAGATGACACCGGGATTGTCTGCAGTCTGTGCTTACATGAAACCATCTCCTGCTGCCCCGGGACAGAGCAGGAACAAACACTGTTTTCATGCTGAAAAAGTGCCCTTGATCCTCTTTTCAGTCCTTAACAACACGCTCAACGTGGACTGGCAATATTGACGGATCCCTGGCCCACCTCCCACACCTGGAAGGAATTTTTAGACACTTCCCTGGAGCCTCCTGGAAACTGTGCCACCCATTGTGGTGTTTCTCCGTGTGCTGAGGAGTATCTGTGCCTGAGCAACCACAAAGGCTGCAGTGAGCAGGTCAAGGAGCAGTTCCTGCCACTTTTTTGACCTGTTATCAAAGCTGTCAGAAAAAAATAGAGCAGTTAATTGGCAATCAGCCCCGATAGTTGTCTCCATCCCTGCAGGCAAGTGGCAATTTCTTTTCCAGCTCTTCATTTTCAATTCTGTTTGCCTCATTTTCACCCGCAGCTGCTACTGCAGTGACAATGGACTTTGCAAATGCTGACTCGAGAGCTCATTTTCTTTTGTGGCTGTTCTTTTTGTGTGGCATCAGGGCCACACCTCCTCTGTCCCTGCTGCAAACACCATCTACTGCTGCACCGTCCTTAGAGCTGGTGGCTCTAATGACAGTCGAGATAGCCTCATTTGCATATACAGGTTGTGCTTTTATGTCAATAACCAGCTGGTTTAACTGTGTACTGCCTACAATTACAAACGTGACAATTCTGCTCCTCTTGTTGGGCTTTGAATCAAATTGCTACAGACTTTAATAGAAAAAAAAAAATCCACACAAAAAATACATGGTTTAACCTGTTAACTATGGTGAATAATAAAATCAGCATCTTCCCCATGCCTTAAGGATAAACCTGGATGATTTGTGAATAAACAGTAAAACAAGCTGAGGTTATCTGTTAGACTGTCGTGGGCCTGAGCTGAATTCACTTCCTCTGCCATAGGAGCAGATGAATTTCATGAGGCTCAGGTCAGGATTAAGAGTAACTCTTACAAAGCATGTAAAAGCTCACTTCAGAAAGATACCTTTTCATCCAACCCAAACACCTCCAGCTTCCTCTGGCTGCCCAGGATACACAACAGCCCTGCAAATGTAGCCCCAGGATCGGTTTCAGGCAGTTTCCTCTGCATGCATCATTGACGAGCATCTCCAACTGCCTGGGCTTTGTGTTGCTGCACTCAGCACTCCAAATAAAAAATACCAATAGAAACCTTACCTATGCCAAAGGGACCACTGCTGGGCAAGCGATTCTGGAAAAGGCTGTTGCATGCAGAGTTTGTGGAGGCAGCTCTCCTCAGTGTCCTGCAAAGCTCATGTGTTTACACTCCATCAGCATCAACATTCTGGGATGAGAGTGCCCAGATGGATGATCTCAGATCCCATTCTGCTTTGGTTAACCAGGAGTTCACAAGTTTCACCCGCCTCCTGTTGTGACACGGAGAGCAAATCTGCAGTAGTGCCGTTCTCTGTGAATCGGGGACACTGAGGTGGCACAATCA